TCTGGTCTGCCCTTTTGGCTTGACTTCCTTTGAGTGTTCATGCGGTTGTGTTTTACAGAAATGAATGGGAAGCGAATAGACAGTGACTTTGGGAGTGCAGGAGAGCCAGCTCTGAGGGATGCTGTACCAAAGGCTCTTGCAGTAAGTTTTGCCAGGTCCATGTGGTGGTGACTGCCTTTGGTGGCATATGGCAGCAGCTGTTGCTTCCTTCTCATGGCCAGGGGCTCCCCTTCAGCTGGCTGAAATGCTTTGGGGGTGCACAACTGCTGCTAGAACATTGCACTCAAACACAGTAGCTGCTGGGGACAGAGCCATCGTTCACTGTGAGGCCCAGGGCTTGTGGTTCAGGAGCAGAAATGGTGCCATGTGGCTCAGCTGGAACACTAACCTGGCAGAGCCACTGCTGGACTGTTTGCAGGGAGCAATTCATGACATGAAACTTTCCTGCAGCTTTGCAAAAGCCTGCTTTAATCATTGCCAAGAACGGATGTAGGTAGGAAATTGCAGTTTACTTGTGCCCACTTCATGGGCACAAACCGCCCAAGGTTCTCAGATGAAATGAGATCATTTTACTGATAACATTTTTAATTTGCCTGCCAGGGCTGGGGCCTGGGCATCACTGTGGAAAGCAGTTCATGTGGGCTTAGCAATACGTGGAGATTAAAGTGTTCATGCAGCTTGAGGTCTGTCTGTTCCTGTGCTTACTGTTTCTTGTTAGCTGGCTCTAGGCAGCTTTCTGAATCATTCTTTGGAGGTGTTTCAGCTCTCTTGACAGGTTTATACCACATTTTTATCAGTTAGCTTTAAAAAAACCCAACAAACTAACAGCATGTGGAGGCTTGTATGGGTAATACCAGAAGTTGACCGTCGGTTCACTTCTCCTCAATAGCCATTTTTCCTTCACCCCTTCCCTCTTTCCTGATGGCTAACGGCCTACGCTATTTCCTGAGTCATTTCACAACACTAGGATTAGGAAAAGTAAACAGTATCTTTAATAATAAGCCATTTTAAAATTACATATCCATTTGAATGGAATTGTACTTAGTTACCTTACTCTCAAAATGGTGGATAGTTGGAAGGAAAACTTCTGGTCCCACAGTCAGCATGACTTTTTAGTATGGGAGGGCGTTTGAATTTAGAATCTCTTCAGAGCTGGCAGTATATTTTAAAATGTAGGTATCTGAACTAATCTCTTGAGTTTTAGCGCTAGATGAACTTGAGGTCCATTTGCATGTTTAGTATCATTTTATTGTCTGTAAAATGCTTTTTATTCACAAAGCTGAATGTAAATGAGCATTATTACTAAAATTTTCCATGCAGCAACAGTGTCAAAAGAATTTATGTTTTGTGAAAAAAAAATAAAAATAAATTATTTATTTAATTTTAGCTATTTCATCCTTTTATATTTATGACCTGATAAATTGTTTTTAAAGCATATAGTACAATTTTTGGAGTGCCACAAGGCATGTAGACCGTACTCTGATATTTTATTTTCATGCATCTGTAAAGCTAAACCTGTAAAGTCTGACTCTTGTGAAATGCTTCATTCCACACAGTCTCCATGTTTATGAAATGGGAATGCAAAGCAGAAAAAGAATTATGTATCTTGAATACAAATTATTAGGATTTGGCCCCTGGTTAATGTGTACTCCACATGGCTGAAAGCAACAGCTGCCTTTTGGTTAGTCTGTACTTCACTCTAGCCAATGAATACAGAACTAATATTCTGCCATTTCAGCAATTTTTAGCCTTATGTGAACAGCAAACGATGTTTGCTTCCGATCGCTTGACCAACACATATTGGTGGAGTGGCCATGATATATATGAACAGAAAATAAAAACATAGGCAATTCTTTCTGTATATTGTCTTCAGCACTGATAGGTATTGTGTCATTCCTACAGGTACAATCACGGTATAATTCTGAAATACATAGACGTTAAATATATCATTTTTCTCTGAGCCATTTTCATTCTGTTAATGCAGTTTCATGCAGACAGTGGAAGCCATTTAACACGATGAATATTTTCTGTTGTTTCTATCAAAGATAAAAAATATACTTGGATATGTTAGGTTGAAGCATTAAAGTTTTTCTCTACATAGAGCTCCCAAGGTAGAGTTGAGTATCCCTGTATTATGCCAGATTTTTTTACTGATGTAACTCTGTGTAACTGCTACACATTGGTTTGAGTGCAACGGCTTCAGTAGGCGTGACCTGGGGATGTGGTTTGGTACACTTAACATAGAATTCACTTGTGCATCAGTGTAGTTGGATCACATTAAAGAAGTTTATAAACTAGACATATGTGTTGGCTATGGGCTTAAGGAGACATAATGCCATTTGTTATTCCACAGGATTCAGAATAAATCAGTCTTGAGAAATGGTCTCAGGAACCACTTGGTTTGGAGTTGTATGAGGATATCACCTGCATCTTATTTCTTAAGCAAATGTTCTGCCTTAAAGGGGTATACACCATGCAGGCGTAGAAGACAGCAGTTGGTTGAGGGAATTAAGTAAAATGCCCAAGAAAGCCAGAAGCATGACTTCCAGTGACTTGAACAGAATTAGTGCCAAGATCTCTACTGCTTGCATCATGGTGCTGTGCTAGTGCATTAAATCATTGCCAGCAACATCTATGGAAATATGTGGCTTGTTTGGAGTTTTCTTAAGCAAAATGACTCATGTTTTGACCCTGATCCATTTCATGGCCTTTATGCGTGCGGCTCGCTTGTTGAGAGATTTAGTGAATGGAGAAAATCTATCCTTTCATATTCCTCTATCTTTATTTGCAGGAGCATGCTATCTATCTGAAGCAATAGCTTACTCAATTCTGATTTATCCAGATATCTCCTGGCTGTTTCACATATCATTATGAGCACCACATTATCAAAAAAGAGCAAGGAACTGGAGAGAGTTAAGAAACTATAATAGGGAATATCAAGGACAGGCCAACACGGCTGACAAAAATTCTATGGCATAAATAAGGTGCTGGGGCAATGATTAAAGGGAATAGGGCATTATGGCAGCCAAGGAATATTTGAGATGTGTAAAGGAAGCAAAAGAATTGAGTGCGGCACCTTCTGTATACTAAGTTGTATTTTTAGAAGTGGAAAGTTTTACCTGACTGTATGGGAAACTGGCTAATGGCATGAGGAGTGTGGCTCCCAAGGATGGGAGGAAAAGCTCATCACCTGGGAGTTTGGGAACTGCAGCGGATAAAACATGAACAGCAGATAAAATATATTGTTAAGAACAAGTTCTCATGTCAAGGAGGATGGCTGAGATTATCTGGCAGGTCTTTACCTTCTCCATCTCCTGTGCTTCTTCAGTTAGTCAAATCCTTTCCAACTTAGACACCCCACCAGTTGCATTGAAGCCCCTTTAAGCTCCTTAGGGCCCAGTTCCACAGTTGATGGTCTCGTGTGGAAGAGAAGCTTTAGAATACTAATGCCTGATGTAAATCATTCCTTTTTGTAAATGGTTAGCAAGCATACACCTCAAATATAGGCAATTAGTTCCTCTTGGAGTATATTTATATTTCATTAGAAACAGCAAAGTGTTGATGAAAAGCTGTAGTAATAAAACGCTTATCAGTTTGTAATTGCAGTTGAAGAAATTTTCACCTAACCTTGTATGAATTCAGAAAAAAATAGAGGTAAATATTTTTAAAATGTTTAGAGTTAGGCTTCTGCAGCCTAGTTTGTTGCTTTGGAAGATCAGCAGATTTGATGTTCAGAAAGCTTATTATGATGCCCTAAGATGTACTTGGGAACCTAATTTTGAATGATCTTTGTTTTTAATTCCAGTGGAAAAACCTTTAATAACATGGCTTAGATACATTTATCTATTTATCTATCTTACTGATTATTGATTTCTTAATTTTTTAAATCTAAGTGTGCAGTTACTTTTTTTTTTTTAATTAATCAGGTTATTTCTACAGATTTGGACAAACTACAGTACAGGCTATAGAGCTGTTTATTTTCTACCTAAACCAAAACAGGAAAGTGACATAAATGTTTTGATGCTGATGACATTTTACAAGTGTACAGTTCAAGCAAGCATATATCTATTTTCAAAAGAAAAAAATATTCCAAGGTTAATAGTTGACCAGTATGAGCAGAAATTAAAAGGTAATTAAGATTAATGGAAAAGCCCATGGGCTTTATGGAAAAAAATTAAGGGATTATTAGATAACGAAGACCTTTCTAAGATTTGGAAACACTTTTTAGACATAACAGAAACTTGTGATTCATTGGTTCAAAAATTCTACAGAAATTTTACCAAGTATTACCTAATTCTGTGGGATGATCTTGCAATTTTTTATTGTATTAAGCAGAACCTTCTTCACCAAGTGCCTTAGTTAAGTTCAGAGCACTTTCCCAGCAAGAACGAGTTTACCGTCAGGATAGTAGAATCAGGCCCTGTAGTATGTGCCTGTAGAGCTCAGCTGGATCGTCTTACTGCATTTTATAGAATTTATTTATAAAGGTTTCTTATTTTTTGAAGTCCTTATTGGTTTGATAATAACTAATAACAGCATTGGAGTACAATCAGAAGAAACAGGATTCACTTTTAGATTCTGTTTTTCTAGGATATCACGCTTACTAGAGTTATTTTAAATAACTTTTTCAGATGCATTATACTAATTATTTTGACAATATATTATTTAAACAATGTGCTCAATCCCAATATTGAGGAAAAAAACCCATAAGTATAGCAATTAGGGAAGTAAATTTCAAATCTGCGAAGTTTCATTCTTATGATAAATATATTGAGAGTTTTGCATATTATATTGAAGCTACACATGTAAAATAACCTTGCTAAATTAAAGAGCAATTACTTGGTTTATCATTGTTTGCCTTAAAAATATCACCATCTTGAAAAAAGGAAAAAGAACTTGTGGGGCAGGACTTTACACACTGACTTTTTGGAGGACTGTTGTTATGAATATCACCGAAGCTCAATGGATAATCAATTAGATCTATGCTTTCTTTGCAGCTCTTTCCAAACACTTTTTTCTCCGAGCCCCGCCATTCTACTCAGCATGCTGCGGTGGGTCCTGTCAGCACCCTGCATCCCCCACTGCTTTTCCAAGTAAGTTTTTATGCTTCATCAGTAATGCTTGAGTTATTCTGTAAACCAAAGCAGCAGGATTTAATGTGTTCTGGAAAACTAATTGGTGATGCAATGGCAGCAGCTAATTCCTTAGTAAAATCACAGCAATCCTATTCAGAGGGTTTCCAAAGATTTATCAAACTTAAGTACACTGAACAATTGTGAGAGGTTTCTAATGGCATTGAGACCCCCAGACAGAGCTAACCTAGGAAAGCTCCTTGTTTTCAGTTTTCTAGAAAAGACTCTTTAAAATCAGTAACTCTTCTAAAAATCTGTCTCAATAAACATTTACAAATAGGAAAAGAAAAGAGCTGAAAGATCTTAAAATGGATGCTGCATTTTAATGTCTGTTAGGGATAAATTATGATTCATGAAGCCCTAGCATTATTTAAATAAAACAGTCATTCATTTTCTAGCAGTCAAATGCATGCACATGTTTAATTTGTTTTTCTTTTTTATTTATAATATAAAAAACTGAAGAAGTAAGTTGAAGAGAATTTTGGCCAGAATACACCCTACTTTCAGGATTAAGACCTGGCACATGCCTCCATTTAATCCAAATCTAAATTTAACCTTGATTGTGAAGTTTGCGTGCTATAGTGTAAGAGTGGATATTCACAATTTTATGCATTTATGGCTCAGGAGTGCAAACAGAAGAGGCATCTCCTAGCCCTTCAAAATGGAGAAAAAGCACAAATCGCCTTGCAAATCCAAATGAAAATTGGAGCTTCTGTGTGCTCTAGCATATACTTTTTTATCACAGTTGCATTCAGTCCCTTCCTGACTACATGCATGCGTTTTATGAATGTTTCAGAAGGGCAGTTGCTAAGTTGAATGATTCTTGACAAGTGAGGCAGCAAATGCTGGCAGTTTAATGAGCTGCAAGTTTCTGAGCACCTCTTTAGGGGGCTGACACTTTCCCACAGAGCGTTTTACATGGCCCCGGCTCTCCTACAATGGCTGACAGCACCATGACCAATCACCACTTTCACTTTACTCATCCACACGCGACCTCACCACAATTTTTCACTGTGCAGATGAACTTTAGGAACCATTTCACATTGAAAGGGCCTGGGCAAGGGTCAGTTGCCCTTTTGTATGGCCATAAAGCAATACTCTATGTGCCAGTCTTTTCTCCTGTCTCACATTCCAAGAGATTTTCTGGACACCATTTAAAGCACTTGACTGAAAAATAAAGCAGTGAATGAAACTGACTTTTATAGACTCATTCTAGCTCATCTTCCCATATAACCCTGTCTACCTGAAAAGGGATTTAGTGGATGAGCTGAGTGTATACAGGGACTTGCTGAATACATAGGCCCATTATCAACTGTGGGGATTGTTTATTAACCAGGACTGATACACTACTATTTTGGAAGTGACCTATTAATTGTCCATTTAACTAGAATGTATTGAATTCAAATGAAAAAATGGAAACCATGACTAAAGCTTTTACTTGCTCCTTCAAGGTGGTCTCTGCCATGAAGGCAAACGAAGATTGTTCCACAGATTAAGAGGACATTTATCACTATATATTAGGATACAAAGGAAAGACTTAAAAAAAAAACAAAACCAAAACCAAAGCAAAACAAAAATCAAACCAGCAACATAGGAAATAGTTGGTAACAGATTCACATTTATGTCAGCAGAACACTAAACGTTTTCATGCACATTCAGAGCGACAGGCTGCAAACTGACTTATTTCATTTTGGTAGAATTGTTGTAATGTATGAACGAGTGCCTATCCTGAAGTACTGAAAATTCTTTTCATCCACAAACCGAAATTTAGGTTTTGTGTGAACAGTTGGAATGCACTTTGCAATATGGGGTATTCTTAAAAAAAATCTCTAGGCTAGTCAATTGGGGGTGAGTATTCATTATCCCAAACAAGAGTTTCAAATTTTTTGACCCAGTGGCTGTTTGCTAATGCTTGTGAGCCTTCTGCTCATCATTAAATTTTGTTTAGTTAATCTTTTAAAATCAGTCACATGTTGTGCCTTAGAGTATGTAGATTCTTCACTATTAAGTTAGTCTAATACAGGTGTTGTACTCTACATACTGCCTGTACGGGAATTAACTGGCGCCTGGGGGCTCCGGCAGGAGGTTGTTTCTTTGCTGATTGACTGTTAACAACCAGTCAGGCAAGACAAATTTTAAGGGGTCACGTAATCTGGCGTCCTCTGTCCTTGGCTGACAACTCCATTGTGGAATGGAGGCCAGGAGGCAAAGACCAGCCCTGTTACGCCTCTTCCCTCGCTGGTGTCTCTCGTCCCACGGTGGGGATGAGAGAAGATACCAGCTCTTCTGCTGTCAGACTATACCTTCCAGTAAACTTGAGAATAGCTGATCATTCATCAGAAACTGCTAGGAGGCTACCTAGAAAAAGGTACCTAAATTCACCAAATTCGAGCAAGAAGGAGAGAAAACATGCTTGAGAAAGAAGGGCCAGTGTTTGCCCCCAGCTTCATAGGCAGGATGGGAGCTCGGGGTGGGGGTCGTGAGGGGGCTATGCACTCCTCAGAGAAATATGAACCTGGCTTGCCCTTTGCAGAAACCTCCATTGTGGCATTTTGACTTTTGTTCTGCAGATAGTTTATTTTGGTTTGGATGGAGTCTGACTGTGTCTCACTGTGTCATAAATATCAGGATAGTAACCAGTAGGCTATGATTTTTCTATCTGGTCTCAGATATAATTTTGAAAATTGAAATACATCTGTATAAATTTAGACTTATTTATACTGTAACATTTTAAATCATAATAATTACTTTTTGCCAGAGGCTGTTATGGGGGACAAATATAAAGATGGGTTCTTGAAGTGTAGAAAAATTCAAGAAAGGCACGTCTAGCAGAATGCAACGGTCCCTAAATCAGTAATGTTTGACAGCAGCAGTGTATTTTAGGGAAGGATCATTGTACACTTGCTCAGCTTCTGATATTCTTCCTCTACTGGTCAGAGCTGGAGGCAGTATACAGGGGTAATGTATGTAATATCAAACCAGTCATACACGCACCACGAAAGTATTTAGTCAACTTTGCAAGACATACACATAGACACTTTAGTTTCTCATTATATACACACACTTCTACACTATCCTCTGTATATGTATGTTTGTTTCTCTGTGGGTGTTTGAAGATACACATACCCATGTGTATATATGTAAAATACACAGAAGTTGAAATGTGGTATAACCCCAAGAAACAGTTTGTGAAAGCTGCATCTGGATTTGATTAGTATTTTCAAGACCATTATATCTATTGAACAAATGTATTTACACACACCCCCCCCCCCCCCCCCCTCACGTCCACGACCAAAGAAAGACTCTATACCTTGCCAACTTTCTACTCTATTTTGATACTTCTTTCCACCCAAATTTTTCTCTTTTTATCGGAAAAATATAATATTCAACTGATTGTTTAAATATTCTCAGTTTATCTCAAAGTGCATTCAAAAAACATCTGTACAATAAGAAACACACACCTGGAAAACCTGAATTCAGTCCAGATATAGCAACTACTGTAAGCAACTTTAGCAATATTCATTCAGAGGAAATGGGCTGCTTATCTAACTGCCTAAATGGAAAGGACTCTTTCATACAATAAGGTATTTTGGGATTACTTTCTTGTTGTTTTTTCAAATAATGATGGCACATAAATTAAGAATTTTACATACAGCAGCAAACGGAAGGCTGTTATTTACAATAGCCATTGTGTACATTTTTTACAGCTAGTCCATAAAAAGCAAGCAAACCAGAAAGGCAGAACACAGTCCTTATAAAGAACAGTAACAGAGGTGGTATTCAGAAACATTTGGTTTTCATCCTCTAGATTTACAATTGCTCTCAGACAGACCTGGATTTATTTTTAAATTAATAATTTTGACAAAGCATCATCACCACCAACAAAAGCTTTTACACTTAAATATACTTGAATTACTGTCAAGAGAGTGACACAGAGATAAAAGCAGCAGCACTCCCACCATCATAGCACGTGTCTGAACCCAGGTCTCCTCCTAACATCTCCCCATCACCTGACTTGAACCAGATATGACTAAGCAGAAGATGTTTCAAAGACAATACACTTTTTGCATGCTCCACAAAAGTAAGTGGGTGGCAGGAGAGACTCACAACAGCATGCTCTTGCTTCTTAATCCCAGGGAAACACCCTGGGAACCAGACAGAGGGGTGGGAGCAGACACCTTCCCGTACAGGTGCTGTAATTGCGACACAGCCTTTAACTCAGGGACTCCAATCAACCACAAGGCACAATTAACAGGAAACCAAGCTTTATTAGTCACTTCTGCTCACAAAATTACTTCTGGGGGTTTGTTGTTTTCCCCCCCCCCCCCCCCCCCCAGCTACAGCTGACTAGAATAGATAGACTTTTTCATGAAAGAATATGCAATCTTTTAGAAAATCTGCTTTACATGGGAATTTTGCCATTGGCTTCGATATGAAAATGATCCTTGACAGAAATCAAACAGCAGCACACCTTTGCAGCTGTTGTAACTATAAACTGGGACGGCAGTCTTGGCCCATGTAGATGGAAAGGTGGACAACAGGAGGACAGCTCGCACCTGTAGAGTCTAACTTGCACATGGTACACACTAACGCTATCTTCGTGGCTGCCCTCTCACAGAAAGATGGTAGGTGTCAGTGGCTATATAGCCATGGCACAGGTTTCTGAATCAAAGGGCAGCTCTTCCCTGGCCTGCTTGCAACTGCCCTGTGCAAGCACCATATCCAGTGCTTGGTGACAGGCCCTATTCAACTGGCCTCTGGTACTGCTCCCTGGGCAAGGAGCTGGGGAAGCCGGGAGTGCTGGAGGCGTACCGAGCCTCACCAGGGACTGCTCCCCATACACCACATCCTTCTAGGGGAGAGGGAGCATGGGAAAGCACTATGGCTTTAGGCTTTATTGGGTGTGAGGAAGGCGACAGATTTATCTGGATTTGGGTTTTCTGTGCTCTTTGTGAGGCCCATGAAGGGACAATGCGAACACTTCTACTTCTGCACTGCAGAATTTCCCCCCAAATTTGAGGCTGTAAGGTTCCCTCTAGGCAAGGATCAAGGGGATGTGATTGGATTAATTGAAAACTGCCCTCCCAGGACTTGGTATGAGATGTCAAAGGCTTAGAAACCAGGCTGAAAAGAGTAAGTTCAAGTACTCCCCAAATCCTGTAATAAAGAAATTGCTGCGGTTTCCAAATGAATAAGTGAATGGCCAGGGATCTTCTGAGAAGTAGTTCACTCTGAAAGCCTTTCGTTAGTAAACAAAACTAAGGAAAGCCTATTTAGTTTCTTTGAATCAGACCACTTTTATCTGGTTCTACATTTCACACAAGGAGAAAATAAACTCCCCGGAAAACTTACTGCAGTTTACTCAGCGATGATAACGTGCAAAGGAAAGTGGAAAAGTTTCTTCCTGACTATATTTGAATTTTACAGTAGCATGGGCCCTGTGTTAATGTTCCTCTATGAACTCATCTGATTTACTTTTTACCATGTCAAGGCGAGACTTTTGACCACTGACAACACCTCTAGATCCAAGTAAGGATTTAGTCCTTAATGAACATGACTGAAGCATTACGACACACTTGTAACACCAACAAATCAAAAGTGGGACAGTAGTCTGCTAGCATTATAATTAACAGCACTTAATATTTCTCTGATATGTGTTAGATATTATGTGAAACTCTCATCCATTTCCACTAGGAGAGGAAAGTGTCCTCCCTCTTCTGACCCAGGAGTCTAACTCCAAAGCCCGGAGAGGAATATTAAGAAGAGCTGTCTTTTCCGAAGACCAGAGGAAAGCTTTGGAGAAAATGTTTCAGAAGCAGAAGTATATCAGTAAAACAGACAGGAAGAAACTGGCCATTAACCTGGGTCTAAAGGAGTCTCAGGTAAGGAATGACAGAACATCTGTGACTTCGTGTCTTTTTGAGGAAAAATCTTTAAAATGGCTTTGAAGGAGGAAAATTGAGCAGCACAAGGGCAGCCCTGAGCTGCTTCACTGAGCAAAGACCTCAGTAAATCAATGGCAGTTTTAACCAAGGAATGCTTGAACGGGTACCTGGTTTATTTCCTGAAGGTGTACATTCAAAAGTTGATCGCTCCATTTTCACACAAACTGGGAGAAACATGACCTCTGCATTTCATTTCCAACTCCCATTTTGCTGTCTGACAGAGTCCCCTGAGGAGCTTTGGCGTAGGGAACTATGCTCCATCCCACTGCCTGATAGGCAGTGATCCAGGCAGAAAACAGCAGACTATAGAGCCCTCCTGCATTCCTCTGAGCACCCTTTGCACTTGCAGGTGACAGCTAGTGACAATGCAATCAACAGCACTTTGAAACCATTCTGCCCCAAGAGACAGGCAACCATCCCTACAGAAACAAAGTTATCTGGACAAGGAGGGAGATCCTCAGAGCTGAGAGAAACTCTAGAAGGAAAAACTTTGCAGCTTGACCTTCTAAAATACTCCCACTTTACTTGCCAATTCACATTTCATAGGATTTTTCACACGAGCGTGAGTTGGCCTGCTGCAGAACTTTAGAGTTTAGCTGAGGGTCTAATAACCTCCAGTGAGCTGTTCTAACTGAACAAGTATGTTAATGGTGGTGGCGAATGGCAGTAGCCCAATCTGGAATCTCAGGCCCTGACCTAGCTGCAGATAAAAACAAAGGAAAAGTGCCTGGCTTGAAGAGCACAAAACCTGAAAGAAACTGGAAAAAATGTTTGTGAGGGCATGTAACAGCAGAAAATGAACGTGGTGGCTGCTGGCAGGTGGGATTCTTAAGGTGCTGGAGTAGAGGCAGATCTCTAGAGTACAGCTGAAAGAGAGTAAGAGAGTGACAGTACAATTTTATTTTCTTGCATCAGCAGGAGTGAAAGTGCTTAAGATACGTATGGCGGAAGCTGTCGGGGGCAGAAAAGCCTGGGAATGGCAATGGGAGCTCTCATCATCTTTATCTTGGAGATTTTCAGAACTTGACAAGACCCTGAACAATTTGATCCAACTTCACAGTTGGCCCCGCTTTGCATGGGAGGTTAGATCTTGTGGTCTGTAGTGTTTCCTTGCAACCTGAATGATTCTGACTCTGTCGCAAGCACTGCAACGATAAACAAAAAAAGCAGCACAGTGTGGTGCGTCTCAGTGTGATGAACAGAGCTGTAATCTCTGCAGGATAAACTACTTCAATGAAAATGTGAATTGCACTCACCAGTGCGCTGCCTAAAAATTTCCCAATATATAGTCAAATTCCTTACATTACAGCTATTTCCTTGAGTTTTTCTTCTGTGCTCTTGATATTCAAGAGAGCCCGGGGGAGTAAAAAATAATGGAACAATACATAGATAACAACTGCCACTGCAGGAAAATAATTTCATGATAATGATAGACCAGATGATACCT